CAACATTCTTCATTTATTTGAGAAATGAGACCTTTATCTGAGAGACTGTCTATACATTTTCCCCCCAAGTTTCTGCTTTCCTTCTGAATCTTGGCTGCATTGGTTTTATTTGTACAAAACCTTTTTGATTCAATGTAATAAAAATTATTCATTTTATATCTCACAATAACACTGTATCTCTTATGTATACATAAATTGTTCTCATATGCATAAATCTGTTAGGTAGGTAATATGTTCCATGTTCTTTTCTTTTTCTTTTCCTTTCCTTTTTTTTGGGGGGGGGTGGTGATATTGCCCTTTATGTGTAGGTCATGTATCTATTTTGACCTTGACTTGATAAATGGTTTAAGATATTGGTCTATGCCCAGCTTCTACCAGACTGCTTTCCCAATGATTTTTTTTTTTTAACCAAATGATGAATTTTTATCCCAAAAACTTAAAATATTTTCTTTTTTCAAACACAAGGATACTGTAATCATTTGCTACTGTGCATTGTATGTCTACTCTATTCCACTGATCTCCCTTTCTATTTCTTAGTGAGTACCAAATAGTTTTGATAATTACTGACTTAAAATATAGTTTTGATGTGGTACTGCTAAAACTTCCTTTCTTTGCATTTTTTTCGTTAGTTTCTTTGAAATTCTTGACCTTTTGTTATTATTTTCTCTAACTCAGTAAAATAATTTTTTGGTAATTTAATTGGGATGGCATTGAGTAAATGGGTGAAGTTGTCAATTTTATTAGATTTGCTTTGTCCACCCATGAATAATTAATATTTCTCCAGTTATTTAAATTTGTCTTTATTTGTATGAAAAGTGTCTTAAAATTATGTTAATGTAGTTCTTGGGTCTGTTTTTGCAAGTGTACTCCCAGGTATTTTATAGTGTGTACGGTTATTTTAAATAGGTATCTGTTACTATCTCTTGCAGGGTATTGTTGGTGATATGTAAAAATGCCAGTGGTTTCTGTGGGTTTATTTTATATCCTGCTACTTTGCTAAAATTATTGTTTCAATTGACTTTTTAGTTAAATCCTTAAGATTTTCCAAATATCAGCATATTGTCTGCAAGAAGAGATAGTTTATTACCTCTTTTTCCATTCTGATTCCTTCCATTTCTTTTTCTTTTATTGCTGTTGTTAGCATTTCTAAAACAATATTGAATAATATTGGTGACACATAATATAGCTTCTGTTTCTCTTTCTGTTTTTGCTTTAACTTTGAGATCATGATTTGCTACTTCTGCTTTTATATTATATATTTATTTTTATATATATCCATATATGTATGTGTGTGTGTGTATATATAAGCTGAAGCATAATCAGTTCTACTCCAGCCCTTTATTTTAACTCTCACTGTATCTCATTTTTAATTGTGTTTCTTGTAAACAACATATTGTCAGATTCTGATTTTTAATATATTCTGGTGCCTATTTCTGTTTTATGAGTGAGTTCACCCTGTTCACATTCAAAGTTATAATTACTGCTTATGGATTTTCCTCACTATTTGTCTGTCCCACCCTTATCCTCTCCCCCTCATCCTCCAAGAGTTCCTCCCTTTTTGCTATCTTCTTGCCCTCCTAATTTCTTTATCAATTTAAAGACTTTTATGCCCTTCTAGATGTATATGTTATTCCCTTTTTAACCCAGTTACAAGTAAGATTCTAGTACTACCAGCCCTTCACCCGCACCTGCTTTCACTGTAACAGTTCTTCCATTCATGATTCATTTGTATAATTACTCCATTTTACCTCTCCCTATCTGATTTTATTTTTTTAAGTCCACCCTGTCATCAGTCTGAAGTTAAACCCTAAGCCTTCTATCAATGTATTATCTTTCTAACTACCCAAGTAATGATAACAATCTTAATTAAGAGTACAGATAACATTTTCCTAGATAAGACTAAGCAGTTTGGCTTATTGAGTCCCTCATAATTGGTCTTTAACCTTATGTTTCTCCTTGATCTTATGTGTCAGACTTTGAATTGAGTTCTGAAGTTTTTGTCACAAATGCCTGAAAGTCTTTCAGTTCATTAAATGTCCATTTTAAAAAATTCAGGATTATACTCAGCTTAGCTGGATAAGTTATTCTTGGTTATAGGCCCAGCTCCTTTACTCTACAAAATATAATGTTCCAAGCCTTTCAGTCTTTTAATGTGGAAGCTGCTAGCTCTTGTGTTGTCCTGAATGTAGCTCCACAGTATTTAAGTTGTTTTTTTCTTGTTACTTGTGGTATTTTCTCCTTAATCTGGGAGCTTCAAAACTTCACCATAAAATTCCTATAAGCTTTTATTTTGGGGTCTCTTTCAGGTGGTAATTAATTGATTTTTTTTCTATTTCAGTTTTACTCTCAATCTAGTATTTCAGGGCAATTTTCCTTAATAATTTCTTGTAATATCATATCTAGACTCTTTAATCATAACTTTGAGGTAGTCTAACACTTATTTTCTCTCCTCGCTCTGTTCTCCAGATCAGCTTTTTTCTAATTATTATTTTCTTTGTGTCTTACAACATTAGTTTCTCCTTGCCCAATTCTAGTTTTTAAGGAATTGCTTTTTCCCTTGAATTTTTGGATCTCTTTTCCAATTGATTGACTTTTTCTTGATTTTCTTGGATTGTTCTTATTTTTTCTCAGCCTCTCTCATTTGGTCTTAAACATCCTTTTTAAGCTCTTCCAAGAATTCTTTTTGGGGTTGTGACCATTTGACATTTTTCTTTGAAGTAGAAGTGTTTGTTTTTTGTTTTGTTTTGTTTTGTTTTTAACTTGACTATCTTCTTCTGAATATGAACCCAGATCTTCTCTGTCTCTGCAGTAGCTATATATGGTTGGGTTTTTTCTCCTTTGCTTACTCATTGTTGTTATTATTTTATTATCATTTTAGCAGCTTATTATTTTAGTTGCTAGGCAGTGGGGTGAGGTGACTTGCCCAGGGTCACACAGCTAGTAAGTGATATGTGTCTGAGGCTGGATTTGAACTCTGGTCCTCCTGACTCCAGGGCTGGTGCTCTGTCCACTGCGCCACCTAGCTGCCCCACAGCTTATTATTATCATCAGGTTCTAGTCCAGAGGGGATGATGCCTCAGACTTCAGGTTTTACTTAATTGTTTTTTAAGCTCTATCTGAAAGCTGGATCTCCAGCACTTCTCTCCACCCCTGAGCTAATGACTGGGGCCCCCTTCCATGAAGTCCTTGCAAATGCTCCTGTTCCTTTTGGGCTGGGAACTTCAGCTCACCCCTTTGCCCTGTAACAAAAACCAGGAATTCAGTTCTCTAGAGAGTGCACACAGCCAGCAAAGTCCTGCTGCCCTCACTGGGCATGTGCTTGCTCCTCCTCACCTACAGTCACAGCAGAGTCTGGTCAGTGAATCTATGTGTGGTGTCTAGCAACTGGGGAGTATCTTTCAATCTTACCCTGTCCAGCTGTTTGACCCGTTTCTGCAGCAGAGGCTGCCACCTACCCTAGGACTTGTTTATCGATTCAGCAGAGTGTCTAGAAGTGTTTGAACTTGAATTGGGTCAGTCTTCATCCCCTGGAGGTTGAGTTCTCCTAATGTCCTCCAAAGCAGTCTTAGGAGGACAACTGCTTTACCCCTGACTTTTAATTATTTCTGTAGTTCAAAATTCCCTTTGAGGCAATATTTTTATTATGTTTGTGGGAGAATTTTGGTGAACCTGGTATTTCCCTCTTAGTCTGGATGCCGTCTTCCTAGAATCCAATCTATAACTCTGTTTCTTGTGGTGATACAGAAGATCACTAGGCCTTGCTGTCTACCCTACCTCTAAGTCCTGAAATCCCCTGCCAACTGTCATCTGACCTAATTATACTACCTAAAGACTATTGGGTCTTGACATCCACTCCATTGCCTCTTGAGAGCAGACACTGTGTCACTTTTTCTATTTATTTCTCCAGAACTTAGTGTACATAGCTCAGTACTTGGCATACATAGTAAGCACTTAATAAATTTTTTTTTTCATTCTTTCATTCACTGTCTGATGATTTCTTTTTGTTTTTAGGTGGCATCCTCTTTTCCAGTCTTGCTTCTAAACAAATAAAGTAGAAGGCAACCAAGTAGTCTTAGAAAAACCAGTTTCTTTTGAAAACCATTGCCAAAACAGAAAGGCAGCAATGTCTAAGAAAAATGATACATGGGATTTAGGCTCAGTAGAGAAAGCCAAAGCAAAGTACAGGATGGAGAGGTGGGAATTTAATCCAGTTGGTTCTCAGCATCACAGTCAGCCACTGATACTCTGTATTGGCTTCACAGCCCTTTTCTTATTGGCCAGTCAGGACAGCAGCATCAGTATCAACAACAGTAGTAGCACTGAGCACCCATCCAGTGAGCTGACCAACCCCTTTTTCCTGTGGCACAGCAGATTTACTCTTTCTCTTCTCTCTCATAGGACTGGATAAGAGGGACCTTTTCACAGATCATGGTCTTATGGCTCCCAGGGGATTGTGTAGGGGGAACCAGAAGCCTCTGTCTGCCAGTGAACACTGTCTCAGCTCCTGTTATATAACAATCTGTGTCCGTGTCTTATTTCGCTGCTTTATGAGGATGGGCAACCATGTTACTTATATGTTGTGTTTTCCCCAGTGCTGACCATGGTGTTCTCTACCCAGTTGATGCTTACTTAATAAGTGTTTTTGAGTAAATTAGTGAATAAAGAATGAAGTGAGAAAGAGCCCTGTACTTAAAACTAGAGGACCTAGCATTGAGTCCTACTTTAGTATTTATTACTCATGTGATGTTAGGTAAGTCACTCTTAGAGCTTCTGTTTCCTCCTCTGTAAAATGGAAGTAGTACTTGCACTGACAGCTTCTGGTTCTGAGGGAAGGAGTCTTTGTAAATTATAAATCATAACAAAAATATGAGCCGCTGTCATTTTTTATCATTGTTTTTCAAACACTGCAAAGTAGAGCCTCCACAGACTATCATGATTTGAACTTTTATTTTCTCAAATTGCCTTCTTTTATTCACTTATTCTGTCATTTGTTCTTGCAGAAAAGCAGCCCAGAAGAGCGAGAGAGAATGATCAAACAGCTTAAAGAAGAGTTACGATTAGAAGAAGCAAAACTAGTGTTGTTGAAAAAGCTGAGACAGAGTCAGATACAAAAGGAAGCCACTACCCAGAAGGTGCGCACTTTTTCTGAGATGTCTGAGATGAGCTGTTCTAATGTAGAATGACTCTCTTTGAGGATGATGATTCCAAGTATCTCATTTTGCACACTGCCTTAGGACATTTACCTGTGTACAGAATCCCACTTTTTTTTTTAAGAGCCTATGTGAAGTTTTTTGTTTCTAAAAGGAGATTTTTCCAGGGCTGTATAGGCTGGTGCAGAAGGAGGGGGAATTAATTTAATGAAAGATACGTATAGGTCTCATAATGGCTTGTATATAAGCGGGACAACCTCTGATTGGTGGTGTTTTTCACTATATATTTAAGTTTTTCTTTCAGAGAGATGTCATTTTAGGAATTTGCTTTATATTTGTACTAGGACAGTATGTAGTACAGTAAATGTTCTGAATTTAGCTGGAAGTACATTTCAATATATAGGATTTCTTTTAGAGTAGTATATTTTAAATAGGACTTTTGTGGTACTGAAAACTTGACAATAATCCTTCAAATTAAAAAGAAATTTAATACCCATTAAAAAACTTAAAGCAGCACTAAGACTTTTGGGACAGCACATATATTCAGTTAGTAGATAAAAGTCCATTGCTGCCTAGGAACTCTACTACTCATATTTCAGGAAAGGCTTCCTTTTTCCTGTCTTATAATAGATCTACAATAATAGTTTGACAACTCCAAATTCTGTAACGCACACACATGTGCCTTTGAACATTTTTTCATTTTTCTTATTGTTGGGTTTCTCTTTCCAGTCTGATCTGGGTCTTGTCTGAACCTAGGCATGTTCACCATGATATTAATTTGTGAATGAAATAAATACTTTTACATTCCTAAATCTTTAACAAATGCCTTTTTTAGAAAGATAATCAATCCATTTGTTAGATATATTTATCAGTGTATAAATCACTCTTACTAAATACATTTACTTTTCTCATTTTGTCTGTTCATAAGGGCAGATAATTTTTAGAATTGAAAGAGGGCCTGAAAGAGTATGCATTCTTCATTGCAAATGTAGCCCCTCCATATTTCCTTAGTAGAGTTGCCATAGTTTCAAAAAGTTATAAGGTAGTGACTAGCACTGTTGATGAGGCTCTCTAGCTTCATCTTTGGGCCTATACTGTCAGTCCTTCCAGCTTGTCACTAACATAATCAAGAGTTTCCACAACATGATGGAGCATCTGAGATAGATTTCAGTGGGGATCATCAGAGAAAAGTGTTTGAAAAATAACATAGATATGTCCACATCAAGGCTTTGTTGGACATTTAAAGTGCTTTGAGGTTTGTGCGTTTTTTTTCCTTTGGGAAAATTCCCATCTTGTGAAATCTCTCGGTTGCCTTTTGTTTTATTTTAGTAGGTATCTTTATAAACTAGAGAGTAGTGAAATATGTGCCAGAGAATGGATATTGATAAAGTACATAAGTACTTTTTTCTTTAAAGTGGGGGGGACAGGAAGAGCATTTTACTTAACTGATTTGTGATTTTGTTTTGGGGCTTTCTACTTAGCATCCTTCCATCTTGTCTTCTCAAACTACTTAGAAATATTTGGTGCAGGCCATTTTCACCCACTAAAGAAGTAGGAGAACCTTAAATGCTAATCTTGGCCATATGGCAGCAAGACCAGTTTCCCTAGCTCTCTTAGGGGAATACGGTCTTATTAACATTTTTAGTCTCTTTGTCCAGACTGTTTAGTCTCTTTGTCTATCCCTGCACTGAGTTGTTTGTGGTAGTAGTTTCTATATTAAAACTTGTAGGCTTGGAGATTATCTTGCCCATTTGTCAGGTGGCAAGTTCTAAATATTATTGGCAGGTAAAGTGTTAAAACAGGAACCAGACTATTCCAGTGTACCAGCCCATTTTGCTCGCTTTCCTCAACCACAACCTGTAGCCATTCTGACCACCTGAGAACAAAGTATTTCACCTCCATTTAGCTATCAGGGGAAAGCACTGAATGATTTTAAAAGCTCAACACCACTGAGGGTCTGTGGTCAATAGAAAAGTGTTTCATGCCCTGTTTCTCCCCCATTCACACATGCCCAACAGTTTGGCCTTTGTTCCAATTATTGACACAGACAGAGAGACATTTTCTTAATTTGAAAGTGTGGCTCTGGGAACATGGCCAAAAAAAAATCAGTATCTTCTTAGCAAAATCTTATTCCATGAGGATTACTTATTCATGTGGATTTTAGGGGGAGGGGATGTTTTTGTTCCTCTTAATTGCTTGTTACTGTGCTCCCACCCTCTCAGTGTATCATTTTGATGTTCTCTTGCAGCCTGCTGGCTCCTCTGGGAATGCTGTGGCCACCCCTCCCCCCCTTGGTACGGGGAACACAAAACATTCCTGCTGGCAAGCCATCTCTTCAGGTCAGTTTGATCATTGGAAACGCTGCCAGGTTCGAGGGAAGAGAAATGAGAATGGCATAAAGAGAGGGAAAGGAAATACCAGTGCTACCTTTCTGATTTGAAAAAAGAAAAAGAAATTCATTTTTGGCCTGTTTATTATGTATTTACTGATAGAAGATATCTCAACAAAAATTCATGTGATGGAGAATGATGAGTGTTTTAACATTGGAGTTTCATTGTAGGACAAACCTGTGACTTAACGATTAATAAGGAACAGATCCTGGTAGTCATGGCAAACTGGAAAAACATACTTTAGTCAATTGTTATTAAACCATAAAGGCTCCAAACTTTGGCCACCAGATAGAGGCTTCATGGATTAAAAAAAAAAAACCAAAAACGATAAAAACAGACTTTCTAAGCCAAGACCCACATGTCCCGAGTTTCTTTCCTACTTGGCTCTCTGTAATGAAATTCTAAATTCCTTCAACCAAAATGAGCATTTGAAATGCAGAAGCAGATTTGTAACCCTCTAGCCAATAGAATTCCTTTTTGGATCTGCGTTAGCCACCCCTCTTTCATAAGCAGGCTTGAAGGTGCTGAAGTAATACTGCTTCCTCCCCTTTGAGGGAGAACAGCTCAAAGAATACTCTCTGATTACAAACTAGATTTCCTGAGAGCACCTAAATAGTGTATGCATGACACTTAGACCTCATCACCAGATCAGCCTCATCATTGAATTGTCCCTTATTCATCTTTGAAGGCATCTAGTCCTAGATCTTTGCTGTATGCATGTTCCAGATGGAACCAATGTTAGGTGTGAGTGTTCCCTCCAAAAACACTTCTTAGCTACTGAATTAACCCAGATCCTGAATTTGGTTTCAAGTATGGTGTCTTAGACCTTCAACAAACCACACTACCCAATTTGAATTACAGTAGACCGCTTTAAGTGACTGTGACTATCATCTGTCTGCCATTTTACATACTTTGTATTCCTTGTGATGTACCTTTGTGTTTCCCCACTTATAAAATCATTGCCTTTTGGTCATTTTGTAATTTGCAGGCCTCATCTACCAGAATACCAAGCAATGTTATTCCCCCTCCTCTGGTGCGTGGAGGCCAACAGACATCTTCAAAGCTGGGGTCTCAGCAGAACACACAAATAGTGATGCCCCCTCTTGTTAGAGGAGCACAGGTAAGAGGAAGGGTTTTAGCTGGATATTTTCTTTATTCTCATATATCTGTGTAATCACTTGGATTCTTGAATCTCTTATTTTCCATACCTCTGCTTCAAGACCTTACGAGTTCACCTTTCATTTGAATCTAGTAATATGATTAGGATCGTGTTATCTTTTCTCACAGTAATATTTGGCTGGCTGAATTCACTTCTACTGCCTTGTTTAAATGTTTGGCACTGGTATTGGGGTTGTCCTTTGTTAGCCTGGAATAACTAGGGTTTAAGCTCCAAACAAATGAATTGGCTTGCAGTATGGAGTCTGACATTGTTTCAGTAATCTTTTTTTTTGGGGGTGGGGGGTGAGGTAATTGGAGTTAAGTGACTTGCCCAGGGTCACACGGCTAGTAAGTATCAAGTGTCTGAGGCTGGATTTGAACTCAGGTCCTCCTAACTCCAAGGTCAGAGCCCTATCTACTGTGTGACCTAGCTGCCCCGGTTTCAGTAATCTTAATAGAAGATTCTCAGTGTTACTGTCCTAGTTACTATTTTTTGTCCATTCACCATACATTTTCTGCCCATTACATTCCCCAGAAGACATCCACAAAGGTAGATGTTCAAACATGTAGCAGCTATGGTTTTCTTTTATCATTACCCATAGCACAACTAATGAACAACTGTTAAGAGTAATGTTACCAAGTGGTACACAGTTGTTAGGGAGTTAGCGTAAAGTAGGCTGTCTTAACCAGCTATTCTTTTGCTCATGCCATATGGCCAGACCATCTTTTTTCAGTCATATAGTTTGATGTCATCCAGTACTTTGGTTATTCTTCACAGTTTCTTATTTGTCATTCGATGTTTCCAGTAAGTGTTTCTCCATTGCCTTCTGAATGATACTCATTTTTAATTCTTCAGAGATTCTTCATATTGTTCCATGACTTTTAGCCAATCAGTCAACAACATTGGCCTGGGGAATTGCATATTAAAAAGCTGCATCTGTACTTCTAGGAGAAATTTTTAGTCATTAAAGAAGCTTTATAATTTCTAAAAGACTGTCTGTCTAGCCCACTATCTTTCTGTTTAATTCTCTGTCCCAATCATTATTTCTTTGCGATGTCTGTCAAAAATATATGCAATGACATATCAGCTCTATAAGTTGTGCGTCGTAATCTACTCAGTAGACATTCTTTATCAACTTGGTTTTTCCCCGGTGGTGAGTTAGGCCAAATCTTTTAAATGAATACAAACCCTGTCCAGGAAGTTTTACATTGTTCTGGCACTCTGTACACCTATGATAATGTCATCCACAAACAGGAAAAACCTGGATAACCTCCCTGTCTTGAAGGAAATCCCTCATTAATTTGAATTCGCTGTAGGATCTCTTCCATGATAGTGGTGAACATCTTTGGCAAGCTTATTTTCCTCATTTCATGCTTTTCTTGATGTTAATGGTAGAGAGTTATTGAACAAGATCTTCTCTGTTGTGGCATTCAAACAATTTGATAATTGTTTAATTAAAAAAATTTTTTTTCAGTACCAAATTCTGTCCCTCCCTCTACTTCCCCACCCATTGAGAAGGCAAGAAATACAGTACATTATACATATGAAGTTATATAATCAAATCTCTGCATTAGCCATCTCGCTCCTCCCTTCCCTAAAATGGCAAGAATAATGAAATGGGGGGAAGGGGGAGTTTCAATCTGCACCCCTATTAATCTTTGAATGGAAGACATACCTTATTGGAAGATAGCCATCAATATGGTATTATGCTCAGCCAAACCAGTGGGGTTTTTTGTTTGTTTTGTTGCTTTTTTTTCTGGTATTTGGGGTTAACTTGCTCAGAGTCATACAGCTAGTAAGTGTCAAGTGGTTGGTCTGAGGTCAGATTTGAACTCAGGTCCTCCTGACTTCAGGGCCAGTGCTCTATCCACTGTGCCACCTAGCTGCCTCTAGACCAGTGCTTTTTATAATCAAATAACAGTAAGCATAGTAGATAGTTTCTGCATCTTTCAGTCACTTGTGTAATGGTAAATACGGGAATCTATGCTGCAACATTGCTTACAAAAGCTTACTTGTTCCCTACAAATAACCTCATTGAGGATGTCCTCATGTTTATGTAGGTTATTCTCAAAAAAAACTTGTATAGATGGGAAAGTAACCATTTGACCAATAGCTTTGAGTGTTCTTTCTATTGTCTTTTTTTATATTAATAGGATTTTGTCCTCAAATCTTTGACATCTTTCCTCTCCTTCACATACTTTGTCAATTAATTTCTCAATGTCATCACATTCCCACAATATCCCTTAATTCCTGTTTATGCTGTTGGTTTATTACAGCTGTTTTTCTTCTCTTTAAGGCCATTTTTGCCTTTTCTATATGTATATCTTAGACTTTGTCATTAGAGTTCAAGTGTGGTAACTCCACTTTTCTTAATAATAAAAAAAGGTTTATTATAAAAATCTTGTTTTTCTTATATTTGTAGTCCTCTTTTTTACTTCCTTAAAAATAACTTTGTTTAGTTGGGTCTCTTGTCAAACTTTTTTAAACTAGTTTTAGCTTTCCTTGCCCTTCTTTGTTTTATGAGATCAGAATCTTTCATAGTCTTTCTCTGTAAGGTTTTTTGTTTTTGTTTTTTGTTTTTTTGTGAGGCAATTGGGGTTAAGTGACTTGCCCTGAGTCACACAGCTAGTAAGTGTTATGTGTTTGAGGCTGGATTTGAACTCATGTCCTCCTGACTCTAGGGGCTTGCTCTATCCACTCTGCCACCTAGCTACCCCTATATAAGGTTTTACAAACAAGTTTATATTCTAAACCATTATTACCTTTGGCTGCTATAGCTCCTATATCTGCCCATATCTCTGAATTCTGTGTAAGAGCTTTCCAGTAAAAATATGTTACTTGAAAGCAATGACTTTCATTTTTGTCTTTGCATCCCCAGTAGCCCAGCCCTGTGTCAGACCTTATAGGCACTCAATAAATGCCTATGGAATTGAAATAAGATTTTTTTAAAGCTCTTTTTGTTTTCTTATCATAACATTTGATTGATATATATGTATAGTGTGTGTGTGTAAACTTGTGTTATGAAATTATTTTAACTCATTTCTATGACCTTTTGTCTAAATCTCTCTCTCTTTTTTTTTTTTGCATCAGTGACTTGTTTAAATAGGTATTTATTAGTTTTTAGTTATAAGATCTTTAGATCTTTGGTCTAACAGATCAGTGATTTTGACCACACACAGACTTCTGGTTTAGTATATCTCCTCCTTACCCATAATGAAATGAAATCCACCTCTTTGTAACTTTACCATTAATTTTAGTTTTGTCCCTATCTCTTTTCCCCCTCCCTAGTGCCAAGCAGAAGAGGGATAATATGTCTTCCATATGCCATCACTTTTTTATTTGATTGGATATTTTATTTTTATGTTTTCAAGCAGACAAAACTATAAAAAAGTTTGTTTTGGAAATTATTTTAAATTCATTTGCATCCTCTAAATTTCTTTCAAATTCTGAATATTTGGATGTGGGACTACTTAAGGTCAATTAGCTTCTAATTTTTTAAAGAATATTTTTGGAGCAGCTAGGTGGTGCAATGGATAGAGCAGAGGCCCTGAGGTCAAGAGGACCTGAGTTCAAATCTGGCCTCAGACCAAACACTTGACACTTACTAGCTGTGTGACCCTGGGCAAGTCACTTAACCCCAATTGCCTTTAAAAAAAAAGAGTTTTTTATTTTTATTTCCAGATTTTCTCTCTCCTTCTACCCCTTCCCCCATAAATTGAGAAGGCAAGAAATACAGTACCCATTTTACATATGAAATCATATAAAACATTTCTACATTAGCGGGGGGGGGCACAAGAAAAATTAAGAAAGAGGGAAAAAATATCCTTAATTCTGTACTCAGAGGCCATCATTCTCTATCTGGAAAGCGGATAGCATTTTTTCAGTCCTTTGGAATTGTCATGGATCATTTCATTGATCAGAGTTGCTAAGTCTTTCACAACTGATTATCTTTACAATATTTCTGTATTTACATTGTTCTCCTGGTTTTGTTCGCTTCATTTTATATCCGTTCATACAAATCTTCCCAAGTTTTTCTGAAACTATCCCCTTCATCATTTCTTAAAACACAACAGTTTTCCATCCCAATCATATACCATAACTTGTTCAGACATTTCCCAATTGATGGGCATCCCCTCAATTTCCAATTCTTTGCTATATAGACTTTGAATATTGTTGGGTCAAACTGGTATGTATGCAGTTTTATAAGCCTTTTGAATGTAGTCCTGTATTGTTCTCTGGAATGGTTGTACTAGTTCACAGCTCCACCCATGGTACATCAGTGTACTTATTTTACCACATTCCTTCCATTAGTTTGTCATTTTCCTTTTCTGTCATCTTAGCCAATCTGATTTGTTTTTGAATTTGTACCTTAATTTACATTTCTGTGATTATTAGTGATTTAAAGCATTTTAAAAATATGACTGTTGATAGCTTTGACTGCTTCTGAAAAGTGTTTATTTGTATCCTTTGACCATTTGTCATTTGGGGAATGGCTTTTATTTTTATAAATTTGGTTCAGTTCCATATCTGTTTGAGAAAAGAGATCTTTATCAGAAACTTGCTGTAAAATTTTTCTGCCAGTTTCCTGCATTTCTTCTAATTTTGGCTGCATTGGTTTTCTTTGTGCAAAACCTTTTTAATTTAATGTATTTAATTATCCATTTTACCTCCTGTGATCCTTCTTATCCCTTGTTTTGTCATGAACTCTTCCTCTATACATAGATTTGATAGGTAATTTTTTTCCCTTGATCTCCTAATTTTCTTGTGACATCACTTTTTATTTCTAAATCATATGCCCATTTTGAACTTTTCTTGATATCAGTGTCAGAGATTAGTCTATGCCTAGTTTCTGCCAGACTACTTTCCAGCTTTCTCCAGCAGTTTTTGTCAAAAAATGATTTCTTGCCCCAATAGCTGGGATCTTTGGTTTTTATCAAAAAACTAGGATAATGTGCTCATTTCGTTCTGCATACTGAATACCTAATGTATTCCATTGATCAGCCATTCTATTTCTTATCTGGTATTGAATTGCTTTGATGATTACTGCTTTGTAGTATACTTTGAGGTCTGATACTACTAGACCCCTTTCTATTTTTTTTTAGATCTATAAAGTAATTCTTTGGTAATTATGCCATCATTTCTAATATTGAAAGGGAGAAATCATATTCCTCTTAAGTTATTTTCCAGGCTAAGCATCACTAGTTCCTTTAGCCTGTTATCATTTGGTATGGTCTCAGTCTTCTCACTTACCTGTGGACATACTTCATTTGGTCTTTATCCATTGTACAAAGTGGTGACCAGAACTGAATACAGTACTTCTTATTTGGGTCTGTTAATGGCAGGGGACAAGCATTATCCTTACCCCAGAAGTAATAGTAATCTTGTACTATTGATCAAATTTTGAAGCATCAAAAAGTTCAAGACAGCCTTCCAGCCAACAGCCATATTAGCATGTTGTAATGTGAGGAAATCCCCACAGATGATATTGGTGTTCAGAGATCCTGTATGAATATATGAAGTTGGGCTTACTAACAGCATGTAAAACAAGAGACTTTTCTGTGCAAATCTGACATGAGACTTATACATTATTACTGGAACTGAAACAATCATCAGTGCATTAAAGATCTTTTCTTGAGTCTTGGGTCCTGCAATTGTAGTTAATAGCATATGAATTATATTAACTGTGATAATAGTAATACTGTTGCTTTTTTTGTCCTTGTCTTATATCATCTCCATTGCATCATTCCTTTGCTTCATGGAACCATTGCATCAGCCAATCTCTGTCTCTCCCCAGCAAATCCATAACATCAGGCAGCATTCCAGCACGGGCCCACCTCCTCTACTTCTGGCACCACGGGCATCTGTTCCCAGCGTGCAGATTCAGGGTCAGAGAATTATACAACAGGGTCTCATCCGTGTTACCAATGTCCCCAACACTAGCCTGCTGGTAAATATCCCACAGGTGAGTTCTGAGTTATCTTTATGAAAAACATAATGCTTGCTTTAAGGAAACCAGGGTAAACAGCTGTAACTATAGGGTGAGACCCCAGTAGAATGAAGGGTCCATTAATACATCCAAATTTAATGGATTTGATTCCTCACTTGGGAGCTAGTAGTTATACTAGACTTTAGTTAGAATAAATATTTCTATCTCTTCCCACTTTACCTGTGCAGCCCTTGAATATTGACTCAAATAGCACAATTTCGGCATAGTTGCAGGATACTAAATAACCATAGGTAAATCCTTAGCCTTTCTGCATATTACCAACAAAATTTAGTAGTAAAATTTCCAGTACCATGGTCCCCAAAGTAGTCTTCCTTGGCTGAAATCATTACCCAAAACAAAGATAAGATAATTTAAGCTTTTATTAAACGGCAAACTGCCAAGAAGAACTCTTAGTTGTTTACATGTTGAAATTAGGAGGTTTTGAATGACTTTGCAACTTGGTATTTTACCTTTTTCAACCACTTACTCTTGCCAACGTTACTTGAAATCCATTTTGTTCTTTCTCATCTTCTGTTGATGTAAGTAAGCCCTACAGTGCTTTTTGTATAAAAGTGTTAAAAGCAAGTGGTGAAAAGGTTGGGGGGAAACAACTGGGCGAGGCTATGATTAAACCATTCCTCTCCACTTTGGATCTTTGATTTGACTACGTTTTAGACAGGAACCCTTTTCTGTTTATGTATGAGACTGACCCAGGTTTTTGCTTTTCTCTTTGGCTTCTGTTTCATTTTTAAGGCCTCACCAACTTCAATTAAAGGTACAACAGTCACGTCTGCTCAGGGTAATGCAACTACCACTGGTGTTGCATCCATAGTGAATGCCAGTGATTCACCAGCCAGCCGGCAAGCTGCTGCAAAGCTTGCCCTACGCAAACAGCTGGAAAAGACGCTGTTAGAGATTCCCCCTCCTAAACCACCTGCTCCAGAGATGAATTTTCTACCCAGTGCAGCCAACAATGAATTTATATACCTAGTTGGATTAGAGGAAGTGGTACAGAATCTCTTAGAAACTCAAGGTGAGCTAACAGTTGTGCATGTATATACTCTTCTTGTCCCTGAAACTGCTGTTAAACATCATACTTTTAAAGTGGTAATATTTAGAATGTCACAACTGAGAAACATCCTATAGACTTCACTGTTGCTATTCACTAGAGAAAACTGATGCCTTAGGATCATACATAATATCATATCAGTATCATATTGTGTCATATCAAGCAATTTGATATAGGTTATACATGTGTAGTCATGCAAAACACTTCCATAATGGTCATGTTGTGAAAGATTTAACTATACTTCCCTCCATCCTATCCTGCTTCCCCTTTATTTTATTCTCTCCTTTCACCTTGTCCCTCCTCAAAAGTGTTTGCTTCTGATTACTCCCTCTCCCAATGTGCCCGCCCTTCTGTCATCTCTTCCACCTACCCCCTTTCTCTTATCTCCTTCCTGCCTACTTTCCTGTGGGGTAAAATAGATTTCTGTACCCATTTGTGTATGTTATTCCCTCTTTAAGCCAATTCTGATGAGAGTAAGGTTCATTCATTCCCTCTCACCTCCCACCTCTTCCCCTCCACTGTAAAAGCTTTTTCTTTCCTCTTGTATTTGAGATAATTTACCCCATTCTACCTCTCCCTTTCTCACCCCTTAATTTTATTTTTTAAATATCATTCCTTCATATTCAACTCACACCTCTACCCTCTGTGTCTTTATGTACTCCTTCGAGCTACCCTAATAATGAGAAAGGTCTTATGAGTTACAAATATCATCTTTCCACGTAGGAATGTAAACAGCTTAATAAGTCCCTTATGATTTCTCTTTCCTGTTTACCTTTTTATGCTTCTTTTGAGTCTTGTATTTGAAAGTCAAATTTTCTACTTAGCTCTGGTCTTTTCTCAAGAATGAATGAAATTCCTCTATCTCATTGAATAGCCATCTTTTTCCCCTGAAGGATTATAACTCAGTATTGCTAGGTAGGTGATTCTTGGTTTTAATTCTAGCTCCTTTGACCTCCAGAATATCATATTCCAAGCCCTCCAGTCCTTTAATGTAGAAGCTGCTAAATCTTGTATTATCCCAACTGTGACTCCACCATATTTGAATTGTTTTTTTCTGGCTGCTTGCAATATTTTCTCCTCGACCTGGGAACTCTGGAATTTGGCTATAGTATTCCTGGGAGTTTTCACCTTGGGATTTCTTTCAGGAGGTGATCTGTGGATTCTTTCAGTTTTTATTTTACTTTCTTGTTCTAGAATATTAGGGCAGTTTTCCTGTATAATCTCTTGAAAGGTGATGTCTAGGCTTTTTTTTTTTATCATGACTTTCAGGTAGTCCAGTAATTTAAAAATTATCTCTCCTGGATCTGTTTTCCAGGTCAATTATTTTTCCAATCAGATATTTCACATTGTCTTCTATTTTTTTATTCTTTTGGTTTTGTTTTATTATTTCTTGATTTTTCATAAAGTCATTGGCTTCCATTTGTGCCATTCTAATTTTTAAGGAATTATTTTCTTCAGTGAGCTTTTGGACCTCCTTTTCCATTTGGCCAATTCTGCTTTTTAAGGCATTCTTCTCATGGCTTTTTTGGACCTCTTTTGCCATTTGAGTTAATCTGTTTTTTTTAAGGTGTCAGTTTCTTCAGTATTTTTGGGGGTCTCCTTTAGCAATCTGTTGGCTCATTTTTCATGATTTTCTTGCATCACTCTCATTTCTCTTCCTAGTTTTTCCTCTGCTTCTGTTACTCGCTTCTCAAAATCTTTTTTGAACTCTTTCATGGCCTGAAGCTGTTTCATATTTTTCTTGGAGGCTTTGGATATAGAAGCTTTGACTTTGTTGTCTTCTTCTGGTTCTATGTTTTGATCTTCTTTGTTACCAAAGTAAGACTCTATATTTTTGAGGTTTTTTTCTGCTCACGTTCCCAGCCAATTATTTGACTTTTAAACTCTTTGTTAAGGTAGGGCTCTACTTCCAGTGTGGAGGGTGTATTGTACAAAGCTTCAGGGATTTTGTGCAGCCGTTTTCAGAAGTACTTCTAGGGACCTGCAAATTTTCAGTTTTTCCAAGGTGATATGATCAAAGGAGAGGTGTTTACTACTGTCCTGGCCTGTACTGTGGTCTGTGAGTGACCACAAAAGCTCTTTTCTGCCTTGGAACTATGAGGATTCTCTCTTCACTGCTACCACAAGCTCTACCATGCCAACACTCCTCCTCTCCCCAGGCCTGTGACCCAGATCCAAGTATAGGCAAAGCAAGAGAATCCTACCTCAGCAGCAGTAAAGAGATCCCTGCAGTCTCCCTCTGGATCAGCTGTTTGATACCCCTACCATCTGTGGGACGAGACTGCTGCGGCCAGCACTCCAGGGCTGCACTAGGGCTAGGGCTGGACCGTGCTCCTCTCTCTCTGCTCCAACAGACCTTTCCCACTGACCTCTGATTTGTCTTTGGCATTTGTGGGTTAAGAAGTTTAGAAACCACCACAGCTTCCTTTGATTTAGTCCCTGGAGGCCGGCTCTGGGTTTGCTGGGCCCTGTCTTTGCCTGCGTGGCCCACACTGAACTGCATTCATCTCCCAGCCCAGCACAACAGACCTTTCCTCTTGCCCTTCCAGGTTGTTTTGCATTGGAAACTTGTTTCACTCTATCTTTTTGTAGATTCTGCTGCTCTAGAATTTGTTTAGAGTCTTTTTTTTTTTTGGTCAGACAATTGGGGTTAAGTGACTTGCCTCGAGTCACAAAGCTAGTATGTATGTGAAGCCAGATTTGAACTCAAGTCTTCCTCACTGTAGGGTGGATGCTCTATCCACTGTGCCACTTAGCTGCCCCTAGAGTAATTTTTTGCAGGTATTTGGAGGGGTTTGGGGGAGAGCTCAAGCAAGTCACTGCTTTTCTCCACCATCTTGGTTCTACCCCCACTTCATTCACTTTTTTAAGAATTTGTTCTATTTGATTCCTCTTCCTATTACCTACCTCCCTTTTACTCACTTCCTTCACATCTTCCCTTTCCCTCCTTTTTTCCTGCTCTGTGACATGTATTTGTATCCAGTTTTGTATATATGTATGTATATATGTGTGTATGTATATTCATCCCTTTTTTGACCAGCTTACATAAGATTGAGGCTCAAGTGTTGCCTGCTCCCTGACTTCCTCCTGGTTTGTGTAGACCTCTGCTTGAACACTCCAATTATGTGAAATCATTTTCACCATCCTTCCTCTTCTATTCCGCACACCCCAATGTGTTCTTCTTTCTCTTCCTTTTTAAGGTTAGAATGTAACAGAACCAACCCCACCCTCGTCCCAGGCCTTCTGTCTAATTAAACTTCTAAATTAAACATCCCTAATGATGATAGAGTTTTCAGGGGATGGGTGTATCATATCCCCATATTAAAATGTAAGCAATTTGTCTTGTTCCATATGAGCTAACACACGTTTCCTTTTTTGTATTTTTCTTGATTGCTGTGTTTGCATTTCAGAGTTTCTGCTCACCTCTAGGTCACACAGGTGATAAGAAATAAAGCAGGAAAGAATGGTAGTCTTCTGGTACTAAATCTAGTGCTCTTTCTTTCTTTTTCTTTCTTTCTTTCTTTCTTTCTTTCTTTCTGAGTTATCAACAATCACTTCCATAAGCTTTTGAGTTTTAAATTTTTCTCCTCCTCCCTTCTCGCCTCCCTCCCCAAAACAGTGTGCAATCTGATGTAGGATACGTGTGTGTGTGTATTCTTATTAAACATATTTTCACATTAGTGATGTTGTAAGTAAGAATTAGAACTAATAGGAGGAACCACCACAAAGAGGAAACAAAATACAACAGAAGGAAAAAAATAGCCAATAATATGCTTCAATCTGCATTCAAATTCCATAGTTCTTTCGTTGGATGGGGATAGCATTTTCCATCATGAGACCCTTGGAGATATCTTAGATCCTTGCATTGCTGAGAAGAGCTAAGTCTTATCAAAGTTAGTCATCAAACAACATGGCTGTTACTGTGTGCAATGTTCTCCTGGTTCTGCTCACTTCACACAGTATCAGTCCATAAAGGTCTTTCCAAGTTTTTCTGAAGTCCATCTGCTCATCATCTGGTGTTTTTTCCTCTGCACCACATGGAGTCTTGCCTCCAAATCTAATATACAGTGACTGAGTCTAGTACCAGTCTACTAGAACTTCCAAACAAGGGGAAATCCAAAGGAACGTTGAACAGACACAAACACGGGTCTGAAACTTGCAGAGCTCAAATGAGGAGAGCAGTGCTTAGACTTTGCATTGAATCAGACTGATTTGGGTACACTGACAGCCAGCAGGTGCACAGTCCAAGCTGTCCTTGAGATCATGGAATAACACCACAGTCAATACCCCGAGAAAGAAGGACTCAAGAAAACAAAAGCCCAGTTCAGATGTTCTCTTTAGAATTGCATAGACCCCAGTCCTAACATAAGTAGACTGGCAGAATTAGCAAACAATATAATCTTATTTTTTTTTTTACAACACTGTGTCAGGAGGTGCATACAAATTTTTATTTAGCCTTTATATCTGTTTGACCTGTTTGCTCCCCAAAAGGAGGAATGTCTTTCAAGCCATACTTCAATAACTTCTGGGATCCATGGTTTCATCTGTGTAGGTGTTCCCTCTATCAAAGCCGATCAAGTTCCCTCTGTTTAGTTGGAAATCTTTCTGAGTTACTTTGGCTGAAAAAAATTACCTGGTGGCCAGTCTTTTGGTGACATGCTTCACATAAGTCTGTCCTTGGACAATAGGTACTCAATTCATTCATCTTCAGTCCTCTCCATGAAGCCTTTCCAGGTTGGTAGGATGTACCAGGGCTCACACTCTGAATTGCTGTTGGACTCAGCCATTGTTAGCCAGCTGCAAAGTTCTGCGTATTGACAGTGACAGAAACTGCAGATTTCCCTTTGGTTTGAGATTCCTTCCCTGGTTATTCTGCCAGAGGTTTTAGACTGGGTTGGAGGCTGGAACTGAGCCTTGCTCATCACCTAGGGTTAGAGCCATACAGTTTACTGTTTGCTTCTAAACTTGTTCTTAGTAGAGTATACAGCTTGGGGACCCTGGGACACCACCCTAAATGTAGATTCCATTCTCAGTTTTCCCTGTGTCTCTGACCCACAATTGGGTAATAAACAAGAAAATGGCCCATTGGCACCTGTTCTCACATTCTTCACCAAATTGGGAACCCTCCATTAATCTGGCACATCTTTTTGTTTGGGTGTACATCCTCAGCCCTCTTCAGTTCCTATATACTGGAATATTCCATGACTGCGCACCCCTGACCAGATCCTATTCCCATTTGTGAAGTCCTGTCACCCTATGCTACTGTAGGTTCAAACTGTGGCTCACTGTGGCTTTTTTCTTAGATTTCCAATTAGTTTTCAATCTATTGTGTTCCTAGATCTTTGTGGAGGGTTGTATCAAAGTGCTAAACTGCACTCTGCCATCTTGGATCTCTTTCTCTAACATCCTTTCTAGTTCTCACAGTCTTGAAGCCTATAAGTCTTTTTGAGTAAGGACTCCTGGAGATACCTAAGTAGAAGATGTGGCATATAAAAGAGTTTTAAAATGAGTACTCATCATAATAATAACTCATGTTTTCATAGTACATAGATTTAAGAAACCTTTTCCTTACAACACACTTATGATATGAGTAATAAGACCATTTTCTGCATTTTATAAAGGAGAAAACAATCTCATGGAAATGAAGTGTTTTGTCCAGGGTCACCCTTCTAGTAAGTGTGAGAGAAGAATTAAATCCAGTTCTTTTTTTATTCCTAACCTAGAAGTCTTCATCAAGCTGCCACTGCAAGAACACTGAAAAGAGGGCATTTTTCCAAGGCCAATGGAATCTTAAATGCTAAATTTGGAGGGAATCAGTAATTGAAACTGTTCTCCATGAATATTCATTTTTGAGGAAATATGCATTTCAGTTTTTAGTCTCTAATCAAGTCAGAAAGGCAACAAGTCTAGAGGGAAAAGCACTGCCTTTGCTATTGAGACCTAGTTCAAATTTTGGCTCTGTTACTACTTATCTATGTGATCTGGAACAAATCATTTTACTTCTCTAGGCCTCTGTTTTCTTATCTTAAAAATTGTAGTGACTATACTACTTACATGAACTAAGTTGTTAAAAAGAGTATTTTATAAACCTTAAAGTGCTATAGAAGTGGGAGTTGTACATTTTTAGCTAGATACATTTTTTTAAAAGAAATGTTCTTTGTCGACCTAAGCTTCAAAATAATCTGATTTCCCCAGGCAAAACTTCAACTGCAACTTTATCCCATGAGCCCTACATGTGTGCTCAATGTAAGACTGATTTTACCTGCCGATGGCGAGAGGAAAAAAATGGAACCATCATGTGTGAAACTTGTATGACATCAAATCAGAAAAAGGCACTGAAGGCTGAACATACCAATCGCCTAAAGGCTGCTTTTGTGAAGGCTTTGCAGCAAGAGCAAGAGATTGAACAGCGGATATTACAACAGACATCTTCTCCAGTGCAGACCAAGCCAGAGCCAATGACTCAACATCATTCACTGAAACAGGTAAGCAGGGAGACTTTACAACTACCACCACAGAACCATTACTTTCTGGACCCTCAGTAAGATTTGACTCAGTTGTATGTAGTGTCAGTTGACACCAAAATGTACTTTGATCCTTCTAGGTATTCTTAAATTCTGATCCTTATAGAGTAAGATGAGTTTTTCTGTTGTACTGTAGGCTGAGCTTGGAACAAATTCTCAAGAGTAGTGGGAAATTTTCAGCCAATTTTGTCCAGTACTCCTGAGGTGGCTTCATTCAGGACATCCCAAGATTGTAATTCAGAGGCTATCTTTCATGTGTCGTAAATTGATCTGAAAGAACCCAACACTAGGTGGATTTTATATCCACCTAATTTCTATAGTGAATTGTTTCAAACCTGGCTTAACCATTGGAAGAGCTTGTTGTTCTGCCTGTCACTGAGTTAGTGATTGCTTTATGTAATATTCAGTGTTTGCATTTTATTTTTTGAAAATGCTAATTTGGAATTCAAATGTTGAACTTCAAATTTTCACAATATAGAGGACAAAAAGTGCTACTTTGAAAAACAAAATCTTTTTGTGAGGGTAAAGTTGAACTACAAAATAACTACTTGTTAGATTTGCTGAAGTATCCAATCTAAAGGGCATTGTCTTGAAAGATATATAAATAGACAGATATTAATATGAAACAGATGATTTCATTATGTCTATGTGGCATATCTTTACCAGGGAATTTGAAGGTCTTTCCCAAATTATGCTAATTTTTTGGTCCATAATGATGGTGTCCTAAAATCCTTTCTCCTGTTTGATATGGAAACAGTGAGGCACTTGTGATTCAGTTTCTTTATATCTCCCCTCTTTCCAGGAATTTTTTCGAAGACTTAAGATTCAAGTGTTTGTACTCTAGAGCTTTTTGAGGAAATTTACTAAGATTTTAGCACAGTTCTTTTCTGTTGAGGAAATTGCAGCATCCTGCATTTTAGGTTAATTATATTTAGATTTCTAATTGTCCTCAAATTTAATTCAACAAACTTACAAAATACCCACCATATGCAAGGCCCTATACTAGGTGGTGGAAATACAAAGAGATACAGTGTAGGTCTTACTCTCAAAAATGTTATAATTTTGTGAGGAGAAGAACAAACACAAAATGTGTGTGTGTGTGTATTTTTTTTTTAACTGTGAACTCTAAATAGGACGTCTGAGCCTAGTGCTATGAGAAACATGACGAGAGATTTTGACTTGGATTAATAGGTTACGGTGGTGGTGGTGGTGGTGGTCGTCTAGGGAGTCTTCATGGAGTAGGAAGAATTCTGAGTTGAGCCTTGAAAGGGGACTTGAAAAAATTTGAAAAGAGGCAGATGAGTCCTTACCAGGTATGACAGATGAATACAGGAATGAGAGAGGGCCAGGAGGTAAAGGGGCATGTCATTTGGGCAGAGTATGTGACAGGGACTACAGGATGAGGATACAAGTCTACAGACGTAGAGAGCAACATTCCAGGAGCCTTAGGTCATTTCCTTTTCAGGTACCCTTTTGTGCAGATCATAAAACCATGGCCTAAGTTGGCATTCTACTCAGGAGAGGCCTGCAACTGGAGTAGTGGGGCTGTACTGCAAGTCAGAACTGAGATTCTGGGGGAAACTAACCTAGCTCCTCCCTTAGCTGCTCTCAGCTCACCCGTGATGGCACAAGCCCTTCCTGCCCCACATCTAGGATGGATTAATCACACAAATATTATGTGCTGTTTTCTCTTTTTCCCTCCTCTTGGTATAGGTTCTGAGGTCTCCAGTTTTTTAACTGACAGAATGATTTGGCTGGGTTGGGATAAGGGGGTGCAGCAGAGGATGGAAGTTCTCAGAGTTGTATTGAGCTTTATGAAATCCCTTCTGGTTGTTTCTTTTCTTATGCTAGACTTCTAGCCAACTGGCCCGAGGCCCCCCAGGGGCTCCCCGAGGAGTCTTACACACATTTAGCCAGTCACCTAAACTGCAAAATACTGCAGCTGCTGCAGCACTTGTTACCAGGCCAGGTAAGCATGCCGAGAGACCTGTCAGCAAGGGCAATGCTACCACTAACTGGAAGAAGACTCCCATCAATACAGGTAGGTTTTTAACATCTTGTTTTTGATAGACATTACTCTTTTGAGATTTTATTCAGTGCACATACATCATCTTCCTACCTCCCACCCCCGTTCAACATACTTGGTATCTTAGGCTTTTAGATCTAGAAGGACTTAGGGATCATCGTCTAAACACTTCTTCCCCCTCATTTTAAGGACAAAGGAAGCTGAGGCCCTAAGAAGTACAGTGACTGACCTAAAGTTGCACAGGTGACAAAGCTAGGAATTGATCCCAGGTATTCAGGCATAAAATCCAGTGCTCTCTTCATTCCGTAGCTGGCCAGTTTGGAGAAATACTACCTTGAACTTTAATAGTGAAGAGACGGGGGCAGCTAGGTGGTGCGGTAGATAGAGCACCGGCCCTGGATTCAGGAGGACCTGAATCGCACTTATTAGCTGTGTGACCCTGGGCAAGTCACTGAGCCCCATTGCCTAACCAAAAAAAAAAAATAGTGAAGAGACTATGGGTAAGGGAGAGACCTAGATGGCCGCAATGAGTTGGAGTGTGGAGTAGAGAAAGATAAAGCATATACAGAAGAAGGCTGGAAAAAATAGAGGAACAATCTCAGCAGGGTCTGAGATGAATGCTGCACCTGGACTTCTAAATTATCACTTCCTCTCTTAGCCATTTGAAATTTGAATTAGTAGATTTATCTGTTTGCATATTTTCAATTCTTGAATTGAATGGGTTCTTTCCTTAACCCTTTAATGGCTCTACCTTGAAGAGAGCGATGAGGGAAGACATTGGATTTTCAGAGCTCTTGTACTAAATCAGAGGATCTCTTTTCTTTTTCGACCTGTGTGACCCATGCACCAACCCACCCATCCTAAATCCCCTCATAGACAGTAAAGGTTAAAACATTTTCTTCAGAATAATCTTGTGCATTGTGAAGATTAGGAAACTATTAGGGTCTGAGTGTGGAGTAGAGTAGGGTAAGAAGCCCCTGGTGCTTTTTGAGCAGGAGAGAGGCTAAGGAAATAACATGATAGTTCATTGCAAATGCTACTTTGATGTTATTAGCTTGGTTAAAAGTAGACTTCCTCATAGTTCTGAACAGATTTTTAGCTTTGCCTAAATTGGTGAGTTCAAAGCACAGGATATTACATATAGTATACGTTTAATAAGTGACAATTTGATTGAATTCTCCATTTTCCATCTACTTCTATTCTGTAGGTAAAAAATTAACTTCCTTGGGAACCTTCCTTGTTACTTGGAGATATCATAAACAGAAACTAGGTGACAGTTTGTTGGTAATTCTCTAGAGGAAATTTATACTGTAGGTAAGGGATCAGACTAGACTAGATAGATAACCTCTGAGACCCCTTCCCACTCTGAGATGGTGTAATTCTACATTTGCTTTTGGAAGGTAGTATTATTATCCATTTTATGAATGTCTTAGTGTTGTGATCCATCCAGCACTTTTCTTCTCTTGAACCAACTATAATATATCTGTAGTTAAATGATGATTACCATGGCTCTCATGTATTTAGAGTGTGAATCCTTTAGTGGATATCATCAGTCTAATAAACCCACTCACCTTTACTGTTTACCATGTAGCATAGTGTTAACAACAGGTTTCAAGACACATTTTCTCATTTTAAAGGGTTTATAGTCCAGCTGGGAAAACAACTTGCAAATAAGAAATCTTGTCATTCTCAAAGAAGTGCTTTGGTACCTGGAGAGCTTGGTTTTTGCCATTCAAAATGATGTCTTTTGTAAGAAATTAAAGGACAGAATAAATGCCAAGAATAAAATCTTTCTAATCTGTGTTTATTCTTCTATGATATATTATTCTTACTAGACTCCAGTTATAAAAAAGGATGAGAGTAGATGATAACATTTCTGTAGCCCTTTAAGGTTTACAAAGCCCTACCATCCTCATAACCCTGTAAGAGAAGCAGTGCCGGTATTATGGTCACCATCTTATATATGAAGAAATGAAATCAGTGGAATCTCAGTCAAGTGAAATGACTTTTTCATGGTCACAGGACTGGTCAGTGTCAGAGCCAGAATTTGAAACCAGGCCAACTGACGGTGGGTAGGATGCTCTTCCCACTAAGTCTCTCCCTAGAAATCTTCAGGGAGAGATTCAATACCTGCTTCTAAGGCAGGGGTTTCTAACCTCTGAGAGTCTTTTAACTTTTATGTTTTAAACATTCTGATAATTGTTATTTCAATATAATTGATCTCCTTTGTAATCCTGTGTATTTTATTTTATGCATTTGAAAACTGTTTTCAGAAGGGATAAGTTTAACCAGATTGCCTTAAGGGGGCCATGACATAAAACAAAAATGTTTAAGATTCTCAGCTCTAAGGAGATCCTTCCAACTCTGGTTCTATTTTTAAGCACTTCCAGTGATATAGTCAAGTGCTTATTACGATTGCATTCTGCATAGGTGAGATGGATTTTAAACTTTGTTTGACAGTATCACTTTTGGGGAGAGTTTGCCAGGAGCTCATGAAAGGTATGTAATCTATTCTTTGTGGAGGCCTTTTTAAAGAATTGCCTAATGATTTTCTTTTTTTCTGTTTCAGGTGGCACTCTTACTTTTGTTAACCCTAGTTTAGCAGTACATAAAAGTTCTTCGGCATTAGACCGTCAACGTGAATATCTGTTAGACATGATTCCACCACGATCCATCCCTCAGTCTGCCACATGGAAATAATGCAAAAGCAAAGCCCAAGTGGAAGATTTCCCTCTGTCTGCCATCCCTTTTTTATGCCACAGTACAGTGTGGGACCTGCTTTAGCCCAACAGCTGGATATGCCCTCTCCCCTTTTTTGAAGGAAGCAAGATGACCAATTCTCAACTTCACAGTGCTACTGCTTTCATGATATGAGAATAACAGCTGGGTTGTGAAAACAGAACTTTTTGATACTTTGGCTAGGAAATTCTCAAGATTGGCTGGTGGTGAAGGGCAGAAGGGGTGGAATTAACGTTACTTTGGCTCGGGGGGAAGGTTACTTGGGGGTTTTTTGGTTTTGTTTTTGTCGTTAGTTTCACATCACCAGCACAAAATTGGGACTAAATGGACTTGTTCTGCTTTTGGTTTCTTTCACGTTAGTACCTTGCCAGTCACAAGAACATGTGAGATGCACTGGAGACCAAGAATGCCCTTGTGTGAATAGTGAAATCAGAACCAGTGATTGCAGATACAGATGTGTTTAGTGGGTTGGATTTTTTTTTTTTTGGTCTTCACCCCCACCCCCACCCCCATCCTCCCACCCATTTCTGACTGCCTCCCCTCATGGCAATCTTACAGATTGAAATATTTTTTAATCAGCTCATAATAATGGAGTTAGTGATAAAGAAGTGCAAACTCAAGTATTCCAGTTGGGCATGATTTCTCCTGGACCGGTTTGTGCTGGGGAAGGCATCATTAGTAGGAACCCATGGCATAGACGTCTTACTTTCAGCTGGATTTGTTGGACAGACTTCATGAGAAGCTTGAAGGTCTAGCCCTGAAATTACTGAACATTGAGCAGCCGCTGCCTCAGCCACATTCCTCCAGCAGAGAGCATGTTGCTTACTTTTAAGTTTTCAGAAACTAGGACACTTATCAAAAGAACAAAACAAGAAAAAAAACTGAAAAATAAAACAAAACTAGAAACTCAGGAAAGCTGCATGCTATTGAAAAGAGTGAGGAGATAGATTGTGGCAAAGCCAAGAAGGTTGGTTTGGGGTGGGGGGAGGGGGGAATTGAGAGGGTGGGGGGGTTTTTATTTTGTTTGTTTTTCTTTTCCTACTGTTTGTTATTGATGGACAGAACTGTGAGCTATCCTAGTGTGTGCTCTTGTCAGATGTCAGCAGCAAAAGCACCAGATGGATATGCTTTAGGTAGTATATAAAAGACTGCCTAGTCCTGAATTTCTTTTTTTTCTTCCTGCCCACCCATCTCCTTTGGTCCATACATACCAAGCATGTTCCTCTCATCGCATCACTTCAGTGTTTCATTTTGGGTAGAGCTATAGATACCCCATCCTTAAAGTCAGGGTTGCTTACATTGTTAGTTTTGGGTTCTTCCTTTTAGTCCACAGAAACATTGAGAAGGATTGAGTCTACTTTTCTTGTTCTCCTTCAGATTGTTCTAAAGTGGCAGGAGTTACCTAATTTTTTGTTTTGTTTTGTTTTTATTGGTGCCAGAATTAGTTCTGCTATGAATGCATTACTATATATATATATAAATATGTGTGTGCATGTATATGAATATATGTACACACATATATGTACATATATGACATATATACACGTGTATATATAGATATACAAATGTATATATGTACACACAAACATACAAGTATGTGAGGGGATTACTGGCAGATTTCCACTAATCTGATTTTCCCATTGGCCACAGTTAGGTATTTAATTTAAGAACATTCTGTAGGGCATCCCTCTTGAAATCCAACTATTGCATTCTAATAAAAAGCTCATTTTAACCCCCCCTTCTGTTGTGTGAATAATATCACTGTTTAGATAACTATTTGATATATGCAGTAAAATAGAAGACCTAGTTTTGCAAAATGGTTTTTTTTTTTGTATAAAACCCTAGAATTCACATTTGACTTTGGTTTTGGGTGTATGATGAGTTAGACAGGATGAGAGAGGTGGGGGGAGGTGGAGGGGGTGTTGTTTTCCATTCCAAGTTAGGATGAGGTCTAGGATTTAAGAGGTGGGGAAAATACACTTTCAGGAAAACAAAAGGTGCATTTTTGCATCATAATATCAAAGTATGCAAGTATTTCTGTTCCCTGGGTAGGTGAGGGAGGCATTGTGCCTGGAAAATAAATTTCTGTCTTATACCCTTTTTGAGCCAACTAGCCATTTTTGTTTTATGATATGAGCCAAATTGTGTGTCTAAGATAGGGGATGTTTAAAAAAATCCCCAGGCCTCCTGGACTCTAAATGAAGAAAATATTATTGATTGTACCTTTTGGTTTTGAATTGCTGTGCCTATGTAATGAAACACCGTTGTGCAGGAAGGCAAGATTAATGTCTGTACTGGGGGAGAATAAAAATTGAATTATAGGGGAAAGAGCCACCATATAGAAAAATCATAATTGAAAGTGACAGCAATACTGTTTAAAGGGCCTTTAGTGGTTCAGAGGGAAAGTATTTGATAAAACATCAGTTTAGCAATTTAAAAGAAAATACCCAGGGCAAAAAGCTTATTTGGGATGGGGTCCATACTTTGGTACAGAAATGGAGTTTGCTGACTTCATTTTACTTTATTCAGTATGTGTGCTGTGGTATAATTAGATCACATATACAAGCTATCAGAAACTTAATACAAAGTTATTCCAACTTCAGAACCACTGAAAACTAGACAATGTGAATGTTCTTTTACCTAAGGTCCTGGAAGTTGTGCAGACCATTTGAGTAATAACAAAAACAGCTAACCTTTATATAGCACTTTAAGGTTTACAAAGTGCCTTATGTATTGTCCCATGTGAATTACTTGGGATAAAGTAAAAATAATTAAATTTATTGACTTTCATTGAGTTTATACAATTTTGACACATTCTTTAATTCTTCATCGTGAAACCACACTTCTATTACATTGGATGTTATGTATAACTTTGATGAATGGTCCATTTTCCCAAGACTTAGCCTTTAGCTCATAGGTTTTCAAGTAGAGTTTAAATTGGAAAAATTTGTAGGCCATTGTAGTATGTTTACCTCCATCTCTTGTGTTCAGCTTTTCATGACACGTGGCGTGGTGAAGAGCCATGTTGCAATATTCCTTCTCTATTTGGGAAATTTTGAGATTCTGGAACAATTCTGCTTATTGGAATAACAGTAGTTATCAGTATTTATCCTTCCCTCAGTGAGAAGAAAACTTTCAGGCTCACTGGAAGTAAAAACTAAAAATCCCCAAAACATTTTTTGGATGGCTGTTCTACAGTCTAGTGAAGATGTTCAAATCTTATAGGCTCTGAAACGTCTTCTGACAACAATTTCAGCATAACCCTCAGTGAAAGAGTTCATTTCATAAGTAAAAGTTACCTTTTTCCAATTTGCAGTTCTTTGGTCTTTGTCTTGCCCGGGACAAGCATTTTTTCATCATGGCAGAGGCACAATAGCAGCTGAGAGTGGGAGTAGGGTGGTGGGAATGGTGGTTTTGGTTGTTTGTTTTACACTGGTCATATTGTTGTTCTTCCAGCTTCATAAAGCCCGTTTCACACTGTAGAGGAATCAATAACCACCCTTCCAGCTGCCAGGGACCTCAGGAAGGCATGCTTGTTTTCTGAGGATTATTAGTTAGGCTGCTTCGAAGCAACATTTTGTCAGTTCTTGGCATTGTTTTCATTTTCTACCACACCTCCCTTTACCCTTCAAGGCATCTGATCCTGTTTCATTAGTGATCCTTGAAATGCTTTACTTTGCCACATTACTAGCTCTTATAATATCTCTAACGATCATTGAAGTATGTCTTTAAGAGCTACGATATTTGCATGTTTCCTTGTCCATTTTTAAAAATCACAAAATTAAAAACACAAGAAAGCAGTGTAATGTGTATGTCACAAAATCTAGCACTCGGCTAGCAAACAAATAACTATAAGTTAGAAAACCTGCTCAATCTGATTTCATTGGTCAAGGTCAAATGTTGTGTCAGCCTCATGTCAATAGAAGCACAAACCCAAGACCATTGTTTGTACCAAGTAATTTGTACCACTGTATGTTATCTCATTTATACCTCACCTAATTTGAATCATGACTATGAGATAGGTATATTTATGTCCATTTTACAAATGAGGAAACAGGCTTAGAGACATTAGATGGCTTGCCTGTCAGGGTCAATCATCTATTAAATGTCAGAGGTAGGATTTTAATTTGATCTGTGACTTCAATTCCAGTGCTTGTTTGACTATGCCATACTGTTTCCATATATAACAAAACATGATTTTTTAAAAGGTGTATTAATTGAAACATAAGGTCAGAGCTGGAGAGATGTAGGGTTGTACGTCAGTGCCTATGTACTGAATGGGACTGACTAAGGAGGTGTTTTATACTTTATGATGGGTACTGTCTCTTTGTTATTACGAGATTCGTGCTATAGCTGCAACAGAATCAAATCCCCTAGTCCTAATTTGAGTCATTTTCAAGAAGCTTTAAAGACAGCATTTTATTTTAAGGGAAGAGAGTGATGCATCTGTGTAGATGTGTGTATATACTGGAGACCTGTCTCTGTATTTTTTATATATATATATGATTCATTGTCACTATATGTACACACACACATTCTCTAGGAAAAATAAATGAAAGATTATGTGTGTGTGTGTGTATATATATAGAGAGAGAGAGAGAGTGTGTGTGTGTGTGTGTGTGTGTATATGTATGTATGTAATCTTTCATTTATTTTTTTCTGAAAATTTTTCCACCACTGAAATGTAGTTTCCTTCTGTAGTCTCTTTGCAGTAGACTTCCAATCCCAGTTACACTGCTCACTAATAGTGTGATCTTGAGTAAGTTACTTTTCTGTGGGGTTGTTATCTGTAAAATGGAGGAGTTGAACTAATTGATCTCTAGAGACTCTTCTAGATCTAAAAGTCTGACATAAAATCATCTTGTGAAAGATTTGAGTGCCCTTCTCGGATATATAACCTGAAATTGGTTATTTTAGAAGCCACAGCAGCTCTCCAAATCCCTTTAGTCCCAGCATCACTTTTTGCTGATTAAGCCACAAACTATTAGACATATCCCCAAAACTTTTTGCTCCCCAAAAAAAGAGAGGAATGTCTTTCAAGCCATACTTTCATACTTCTGGGATCTGTGGTTTCATCTGCTTAGGTGCTTCCTCTATCAAAGTTAATCAAGTTCCCTTTACTTAGTTGACAGTCTTTCTGAGTTACTGTGGCTGAAAAAAAAATTGTCTAATGGCCAGTCTTTTGGTGACATGCCTCTGAGAAACATAAGCCTGTCCTTGGACAACAGGCACTCCATCCATTCATCACCAGTCCTATCCATGGAGCCTTCCAGCTTGCACTCCAGTTGCACAGCCTTCAAGAACCCAGGGTCACTTCCACACCATGAAGAGACATTAGACAAGGACTTAAAACATATATCATCTCCAATTTCCTTGGTTTGGAGATTGCAGGATTTAAGTGATAATGGCAATGATTAACTCGTGTAATGGACTTATGGATGAAATGTACGAAATAAAGC